CTACAACCCATGTCTAAGCAAAAGCTTGTCGAGGAGCGAGGGGAAGAAGGGAGAAGCAAGTGGACCACCACAAATAAAAACTGAAACGGTCGCTGCCGTTTTCTTGTTTCTCGACGATTTAAACGAGATCTCCCCGCTCTCTCCTTCGTTCTCCTCTGTTCTGAGACAGCCCCCCGACGTATTTTTGCTGGTCATGCGTACCCCTCTCCTCGCAGAACCATCTACCGCCGACCATCACACAATTGACGCCAAGGTGGGAGTGCATTAACATTCAAATAGTTGTACCGCACGACGATTGTTTAGTCTGCCGTTCGCAGTTCGCACCACCCGCACATGTATTTACATGTGTGAAGCTTCGCATAGCATGCATCGGGGTTCCGTCTCGATTTCAATGTTTCCGGGTTGGCGGATAGGGTATTACACATGTATGTACGTGTAGGAGATAGTGTTGCGAGCCACGACGGTGTTATCACGGTGTCACGGTTCATCGGAAACCGTCGCAACGAGGAAAAAATGTATTTTTTCTCCCCCTCTCTTTCCCCAAGCCCACTTTCAGCCGCCCTCCGTTGCTGCAGGCCACACTTGTTCGTCGCCAAGGACCCCTTCGTCGCCACCGCGGTCAACGCAAACTCGCACTATCCATCTACATCAGGTTCGTCTACATTGCGCACCTCTCCTGATCTATCCACCTTTCTTCTGCACGACAGGTTCGTTGCGTCATTGTGCACTCTACATTCTCTCGTCCAACGATAATTGGACACACACAGCAGTAGTCTAGTAGATGGTCTCGCAAAATACCGCGTATCTGGGCTTCGTGTAGTTCAACGTGCCTGCACCGGCTGCATATGGTACTACGAGAAGAGATTTTTTCGTGGGCTTGGCGAATGGAGCAGGGCGGATTTCGCCTGGCTCCGCAGTAAACGACTCCAGATGATGCTAGCATCGTGTACTGTTGTATCCTGATATCGGTTACAGAAATGCCCGGTGCCTCGGTGTCTAGACCACACCAGCGCAGGCAGCTGATGTCGACCACCACCTGTTTCCTGTGCGCTGACAGGGGAGCCCGGCATAGAATCATTTTTGGAGAGAAGGCGATGTGTCGATGCAGATCGCCACCTCTTCGTGCACCTTGCCACAATAGCCAATATTGTGAACAAAAAGTGTAGACTATATGTTCTCGTTGCCGTTTCAGTTTCTGTAACAACCTACTACCATGTGATTTTGCTGCGGGAGCCTTCATGGGCACACACGGGCGGCACTTTGAGCAAAGGTGTCACTCAAACACCGTACCCGCCACTCATGAGCCAGGAACCTTCGCCCCAGACACGGCGGCTCACCGTGTGGGTCGTGTTGAACACCTGCCATCCCAATATAGACCGGCCCGAAGCGCACAATCACATGCCGGCCACCTGACATCGCAATGCAAGGCGCGACGAGGCCTTTTCGCAGAGGTTGCTGTTTCTCTGTGCCTGTCTTCCTGTGCTCCATATTTGAAACACGTGTCCCATTTATTCGTCAGGATACCGACGAGGCCGTACTCCGTAGTGTATTGGACTTTTGCGTCCGGATTATACAAACCATGCACACGCTTGGCCCCTTGTGCGACGGTATGCCCGAAATATCTGATGAAGACCCATATATATTAGCGACAACTACTACAGCAGCAAACGTGTAGAATACCAGTACCTGGTGTATGCTGATGCTGAAATTCAACCAAGATACGATGAAAGATGCGACCCCCTGTCGTATTTTCCGATGCATGACGACCACAGGTGAAGCACCATGCGCTTCCCCATGAGGACCCGTCTCGTTGCAGGCCTTCTACTGGTGGCATACCTTGGGCTGTTTCCCACACCCGCCATGGGCGAGAGGACTCGCAGCACTCCATTCAAGCTCGGAAATATGTCTGCAAACGCCGTTGCGCGGACCCCCACGGTTATCTCACTGGTCGAAGCGCTGGCAACCAATGCCCAGATCAGCACGAAGCGGGTCGCCTCTGTCTGTCAGCGATATTTCGCTGTGATCTAGCAGCAGCACGATGCTGCAGATACCAGGAGGCTGTGAAGCCTACCTCAGAGGTTCACACTCTGTGCGGCTCCAACCGCGAGA